TCACGCTTTTAGGGTGTCAACCTTGACAGGTCGCGTATGGCTCGCTTGCGGCTGCACCTCCTAGCACGCTTGGGTGGGTTCGTTATTCGTTAGGCATCAGATCTTAGTTCCCTCTCTTTACGCGTATGGGTGGTGCCAGGCAAGTAGCGTTGTTACCAAGTTGGGAGTGGCGGGCGAGGAGCAGATGTTCGGAGAGTTATTTCGCACTCCACATGCTGGGTATTTACTTGACCCTTGGATTACCAAGGCTCTTGACCAGTCTCGCCGGCAGTAAGGCAGGAGTTGCCGAGCCTTGGGCTCTGCACTACGAATCTACACGTTTGCCTTTCCCAGAGGATTAGCGTCGTTTGGCAGTTGGGAATCGTTCATCTCTGCGGCGCATGTCTCATGATGACGCCACCTCGGCCCGTTTGACTTCCCTTTAGGGCCCGGGTGCGGCAACATTTAGATCCAACGCGATGGCACTATTTCCATTCATAATAGATGGAGCATTTCAGCAGCACCCACATAGGCCTTACCTCTCAGAATCCCAACCACTAGACCATTGGGATAAAAGGGCTTTTTTTTAGTAGCGGGTCAGTGCGCCCATAACCCCCCAGGCAAATGTGCCTGTAACCCTTCCCTAGGATCGATTGGGGATCACCAGTGGACCTCTGACACCCCCCCGCACTGGGATGCCCGAAGTGCATACACCGGGATTCGAACCCGAGACCTTCGCTCTGATACCATCTCAGAATCCCAACCACTAGACCATTGGGATAAAAGGGCTTTTTTTTAGTAGCGGGTCAGTGCGCCCATAACCCCCCAGGCAAATGTGCCTGTAACCCTTCCCTAGGATCGATCGGGGATCACCAGTGGACCTCTGACATTACCATCCACCAACTTTTGGTCGCCGGCAAGTGTGTTTGTGGCGCCGGCAGGACCTGTTGGGCCCTCAACCATGTTAGAAAGCTAGGCAATGATGAATTAGGTCAACGGAGTGCGGTACAAGCAAAGTGTCGAGAAGGTGTTTGTACCTCCTAAGGCTAACCCCATTACAGCCTAGATAAATATTAACAAATATCTTGCGACACACTATGCCCTCCCTACAAATATGTATGCGCAGTCTCGTGTTCATGATATGGTGAAGTTTGTGGTCGCCAAGATAGGCAAGGCGTGGAATGGGGTGGTTTCGATTGAGGATGAGATGCTACTACCAGGGAAGAGGGTGGATGCGGCGGTTAGGAGATCGATGGACGATAAAGCACATGCACTTGAGGCGAGCATCATGAATCCAGCTTCTATACCGGCGTAGTAGCATGGGCAGTGCGAACAAACTATTGGTTATGCAGCCAAGGAGCGAGAGAAGAGGAAAACGGTAGATTATCACATTTCATGCAGTAGCCCAAGGGGGGAATGTTTCACCCCATTGATTCTTGAGACTTGGGGTTGCTTGGGGGGGAGCATCCGACATTGGTTACGACCGTAGGTAGATGTTAATTTAAAGGTGGCTCTTAACAAAGGTGTGGGAAGGGGCAATCGTTTAGGCTTTTCAGCATATATGGTTGGGTCATTGACTGCAACGGTAGGGGTAGCCATGCAGAGGGCGTATGCCCGTGTGATCCTTTCACGGACAGCATATACGCTGGTGAGGCTGAGGTGGAATGGGCGGATCGACGGTGTGAGGAGCAAAGATTGGGGGGGGAGGAGGGCACCATGCGTGGATGTGCCATACTTGGTAAACATGCGATTGTAGATGTTTTAGCGAAGGGAAATTTTCATGGGGGTTTGGGTTGCTGGAAAGGCATAGTGCCGTCGTAGCAGAAGCCTTGATTGTAGAAGAGAATAGCAAGAGAACCTTGCAACTGAATGGATTCAGAATAATGGAATTAATGGTGAAAGCACACAGCAGGGTATTTATCCATGCAGCTACCCTGCCAAAGTCTAGCCATCCCCACCAATAATTGTACCTCAAATGATGGTACCTCCAATAATTCTACCCCAATAGCCCTGAACTCCAATAATTCAGCTCCTACAATAATTGTACAATTATTGTAGGGCCTAGAGGCTTATATAGGGGATTACACTAAAACCTGACAGCACACAAATTCTCTTATGCTTTATATTTCCAACATGGGTTAGGGTGGTTAGCACTATGATAGGTTTTTTCCCTTATGCGTTTTGTACATATGATGTATTAGGATGCAACTAGGATTCTTATATGGAATATAACTTGGGGCTACGTTACGGGTGCAATGAAACGAGATAGCGAGGATTGCACTAGGTGTCAAACGCGTACTAGGTATGAGTAAAGGTATGAGCGAATACTTATATGCGAAACATGCAACGGTTACGGGTGTTGGGCTGAAAAAGCCCTTAGGATCTTTGCAGGGGTGAACTCTGGGTAGAGTTGGTGTAGTAGCGGAAGTGTTAATAAAGAGTTGTGAACCACCTTGCGCTAGTATGTGAGGGCAAAGTAAGATTATTAAAACAAAGAGATACAAGATTATATAAGAGTACAAGGAATATGAAAGGATACGGTTATAACTGTTTTACTTGTTGCTGTTGCGGTTCGATACAGTGACGACTCGGGCAACTGCTCTGTAACGAGTTAGTTGTGTGTCCTTGCTGTCGCGCTGTATTTGTCAGGTCAAAGTTCGCTGACCTTTGACTTTCGCGTAACCTCCAGCGGTTACTTCAACCTCCGAGGGTTGACTCGCTGGTGCCTCGATATGCTTTGCTTCGCTTGTGCCTTAGTGTTTCGACACGACAGAGGCGCTTAGGACCGATTGTTTCCAACAACGGGGTGCATGCGAGCTAGCTAGTGCTAGGCTGACATCGAGGTTCGGGCTAGTCCCGAATCGTAGGCCGGCTCCTCTAGGCCAGCAGTGCATGGTTTGGTAAAACCGTGCGCACAAAGTTGGCGAAGCCCCGTTAGCAGTAACGGGCGAACAACGGCTGCTGCTGTACGCGATGTTGATGGTGATGGTCGCGATAAGGAATGTCAAGAAAATTCATTATAGGCTACGACTTTCGATTGAAGTGTACATTTCTTGGTCCCAATGACAATTGCAGAAGTTTTGTGCACCTACTGCCCGTGTCGATTGCAGAAGGCAACCACGTGGACCAAGCGGTTGCCGAGATTCAAGCGCGCCGCCACTGACGAGGAGGCATCAGGCACCTGCTCGCTGTAAAAAGGCATCGACGCTGTAATCTGTTTTTCAAACGAGACAGCTCCGCCATGGATTCCTTCCCCTCTGCGGGTTGAGTGTGCGTCAGTCACGTTGGAGAAGCACACTGCCCTCCACTTGATGGATTTTTTCATTTCAGCTTTTCGTCTTCTCCGGCAAAAGAGAAAGAACCACCAAACGTCAAAGCTGTCTGGAAGTTGGGTGAGAGTGGAGTCTGGGGGAGTGATGTTCATTATGTTGCGGCAGCAAACACTGTGATGCGCTACAGACAGATCGGTTCGCGTCGCGAATCGTCTCGCGTGAGTCACGAGTCTCGTAGAGCACGACAACATCATGCCAAAGATTTCCAGAGCAGTCCGTGCTGCTGGTAGCGACGCCCATCACCGATTCACCGCCCTCGTCCCTCCCAATACGAACCAGCGAATACGACTTGGCCTTTCGATCGAAGCAAGGGTGCAAACACGCGGTGGAACGACGAGAGAAATTCACGAGTCATGTACAGAGGACAGAGAGACTCATTCCATTGGCAGTGCAGCGAAGATGCTTCGTTGTCACGACTTCTGAAAGACCTGAATAACGCGGTGGAAGCGTTACTGCTTGCACTACCGCGCTTGGCTCATTCACTTCACCTCACCACCACCACCAGTCTGCTCTGCACTAGTGCGTCCCAGTGGAGTGATCCCTAGGTGACTGACTGACTGACTGCTCAACCCCACATGTTCATCGACATCATCGCTGACTCGCTTGCTGCAGACCTCGTCCGTACCGTTTCCCGTTTCATGCGGCAGTGAGTAAGAGCCCGCACGTCTCCCTCTTTCTACCACCATGTCAGCGCACCAAGCCATAGTGTCCGCAGCTTGTTCCTTATTTATCCATGGCACGTCTTCCCATGCGAGCGAGCGCTGCCAACCAGAAGCAGCAGGTAGTTCGTCCTTATTAGTAGCCGTGTCGTCAGTTCCACTGGAACGTAGTGGAAATGAATGCGAGTCGCCCGCGGAAAGAAACGAGTGTCATTCCGAAGGCCACGAGCGCCACGAGCTCCTCGAATCACAGCCGGAGATTGGAGCCACGTCAACAAGTCGGAGATTGCGACCAGTCAGTTGCACACCTGACCTTGTCAGTGGCGGCACACTTGACCTAATTAACAGCGCCGGCTGCTGCGGCGGCGAAGAGGCGACGCCGCCGTTCTGTACCGACTCAGTAACCAACTCACAAAAAGTTAAGGCGAAGAATATTTCACCAGATCCTATTCTTTCAACAGATCCGGCGGCAATAGTGACGAGCACTGCTCGTCCTGAGCCACACCCTTCCGCGTCACAGGATAACAGCTTTCCACTTCTTAAATACAAAGAGTATGACGAAGCCGTCCGGCGAGTGCTGACGAGCCCCTCGGATCCGGACGACTCTTTTCTGCCGAATCCGCGCTCTCCGCTCCTCCCGGAACACCTGTCGCTGCGCCACGACGCGCAACAACCGCCTTCGATCGTGTCCCGACTCGGAGTCGACTCTTCTGTCGTCACCGCGCCTAATACTCCCACCGCCGCAAGCCCCGCCGTTGCTCCGGCCGAGGGGAACAGTACAAGCGCGGCCGCCGCGGCGGCGGCGTGTTTTGCGGGCATAAGCACGAAATCTGATTCGGCGGAACCCGCAGTGGTTGCGGAACCTGCAGAGCTTGCAGAACCCGCAGTGGTTGCGGAACCTGCAGAGCTTGCGGGTGCGGAACCCGCAGTGCTCGCGGAGCCTGCGCCGCGGAAGAACGCGCCAGGGATGCAGTTCCAGGTGGTGCCGCATGGCGCGCGCCCCCTGGCGACGGCGGAGGCGCTGTGCGCAATGACGCGCGCGGAGCTGGTGGCGGAACTGCGGAGCCTGCAGGCGGACCACGAGAAGTACCGGCAGGAAGGTATGGTGTGGTTCTGACTCATGGTAGGTGATGGGCAGGTAGAGTCTCCAACCGTCTGTATGCAGACCGCATATTTCCCCTCTCTCCCCTGAAATCCATTCCCCCTCTCGAATATTTTCTCCCCTGTCACCCCGTCTCTTTCCCCATCTCCATCCCTCATCACCCACGAACTCCCCCCCATCTCCCTCCCAAATCTCCTCCGTCCCCCCCCCATCTCCCTCCCTGTGGCAGTGGCGTTCCAGAAGGATCTGCTGGCGTCGGTGGGGCAGTCCGTCATCTGCACGGACCTCGCAGGCACCATCACGTACTGGTGAGTTATGAAGCATGGCCGACAGTGCAGCACAGCTGACAGCACGGCGCAGCCGACAGCACGGCGCAGCTGACAGCACGGCACAGCCGACAGCACAGCACATCAGTACGGATCCGATCTTCATCCCTCTCATCACCTTGCCGCTCTCCCTTTCACCTCTTCCACGCTCACCCTCAACCGCCCTCCCCAGGAACAAGGCAGCGGAGGCGATGTACGGGTGGCGGGAGGAGGAGGCGGTGGGGCGGAGCATAATTGAGATCACCCCCGCAGACACCACGGTGCAGCAGGCGGGGGAGATCTTCGCCGCGCTCACCCGCGGGGACGTGTGGCGCGGGGAGTTCCTCGTGCGGCGCCGCGACGGCTCGCCCTTCCACGCCATGGTCACCGACACGCCCATCCTCGACCCCGAGGGGAAACTCGTCGGCGTGATCGGCGTCTCCGCGGACATAAGTGACCTGAAGCGCAAAGAAGGGGAGATTCGCGCTCTCAATGCAGCACTAGAGCAGCGAGTGGAGGAGAGAACGGAGCAGCTCATGCGGTCCAATGAGGCGCTGAAATCGGAGATCGAGCAGCACCTAAGAGCGCAGGAGCACCTGCGGCGCTGCATCCGGGACCTGGAGGCGTCGCGGGATAAGATCTCGCAGCAGTCGGCCGCGCTGGAGCGGCTGGTGGGCCAGCTGAGAGAGGCACGCGTGGAGGCCGAGTCGGCGAATCGGCTCAAGAGTCGATTTCTGGCGTCTATGAGCCATGAAATTCGCACTCCCATGAATGGGGTTCTCGGTGAGTGGGTGGTTGTGGGTTGCTGATGGTGTGGTTGGTTGGAATGGAATGCAGTGCGGTGCAGTTCAGTGCACTGAGTAGACCATTCATTCATCCTTTCAGCACATATGATTCAATCAAACGCCAGCTGTTTTCTCCGTCCATTCTGTCGCGTCGCGCTCATGCTCCCTCTTCGCCTCACTTCCATCCCCCATTCTCCTTCTCCCTCTCCCTCTCCCCTCCTTGGAACCAGGCATGACGCGCCTGCTGCTCTCAACACCCCTACAGGAGGAGCAGAGGCAGTTTGTGGACACCATCCGCAGCAGTGGGGACGCGTTACTCACCATCCTCAACGACATCCTCGACCTCTCCAAGATCGAGGCGGGCGAGCTGGAGCTCGAGCACCGCGACTTTGACTTCTGCCGCTGCCTCGAGGACGCTGTCTCGCTGCTTGCCGTACGCTTTCGCCTACCTCTTTCTTTCCTCTTCCATGCCCCTTGTATGCCGCGTTCATGCTTCATCCATGCTTCTTCCGTTCCTTGTCGTGGTTGTGGGCCATGGAGAAAGGGTGTGGGCGGTGGTGAGCGTCACGAGTCCACACCCTTTCTCCATGGCCCACAACCCCGACAGCAACGTGTTAGTCGCTTCAAAACCAATGTTGTTTCTCTGCTCCAATCACTCGGATCACCCCCCACATTCCCTCTGCGAATTCAGATCTGCGCCATAGAAAAGGGAGTGGCAGTGGTGAGCTTTGTGGAGCCTATTTTTGAAGCAATCCATATCTAATGGCGTGTCTTTGCATGTTTCTCTGCTCCAATCACTCCGATCTCTCTTCCTGTCTCCGCGAATTCAGATTCGGGCCATGGAGAAGGGAGTGGCGGTGGTGAGCTTTGTGGAACCTAACGTGCCCAGGGTGGTCAGAAGCGATTCTGCTAGACTGAGACAGGTACAGTACAGCGGAGGAGAACACAGCGCACTGAGTCGCTTCACAAGCGATTCTGCTAGTATCACGTCTATTTCATGAGCGTTGCCATCGATTTCATTCTGAATGCCCTCATATTCATGTCTGGTGCTGCTGATTCCATGCCTATAAACGCCACCAATCTCTCCCTCAATGTTCAGCCAGTTGATTTCACGTGTTTCGCACAAACCCACTCCTCCTTATTCCCCTTCCTCCTTTTCCTCATTCTCAGATTCTTGTGAACCTCATTTCCAACGCCATTAAGTTCACAGAGAAGGGCGAGGTGGAGGTCACAGTCTCTGCCACCCAACTGCCTGGCAGCTCGGAGCAGCACATGCCAGAGCTGTTGGAAGAGAGTGCAAAGCAACAAACAGATGGAGGCAGGGGAGACATGCGCAAGGCAGGCAGCAGCGGAGGCATGCACGAGGAAGAACAGGAACAGGAAGAGGCAAAGGAGGAGGGACTTAGCAGCAAGGGCGGAGATATGAGCCCTGGGGATTCTGCACACAGTGGTTTTGCAGTGTGGGGCAAGGCGCTGAGTAGCAGGAGGAGGTGGAGAGGGGAGGAGACGCAGGGCATGGAGAGGCATGGTGTGCACTGCATTGCAGTGAGTGTGCGGGACACGGGAATAGGCATTCCCAAGGAGCGAATGAAGCGCCTGTTCAAGCCGTTCAGCCAGGTGTGTGTGCTTGCTCTTCTCACCACACCCATTCCGCTATTCGTAAGGCTCGCCTGGCTGAATCCGCCTGCTCTGGCAGCTACTAGCGAGCTCGTCCACATGGTATTGAGAATTCTCAAAAGTGATTTCAACATCGCCTGCTCTGGCAGCTACCTCGTCCACATGTTTTTCTCAGCTGCCTTTTGCCCGAGTCACCTTCCGCTCTCATCCCACACTCCTTCAAACCTCACCCAAACGAACCTCTCAAACCTCTTATCGGCTCGAAATCCGTACTTCTCGGTACGCGTGGGGCAGGTGGATGTGAGCATGACGCGCAAGTACGGCGGCACGGGGCTGGGCCTGGCGATTTCACACCAGCTGGTGGGCATGCTGGGAGGGCGCATATGGGCAGAGAGCGACGGGCAGGGGCGCGGGTCTACCTTCAGGTTCTACATCACAGCGCCTGCCCTGCCCTTTGACCTCCACACTCCTGTTGAGGCGCAGCAGAAGTCGCCTGCTCCTCCTGCTTCTGCTGCTGCTGCTTCGCTTGGTCTGCTGTCCCAAGGATATGAAGCTGATGCTACTACTGCTGCTTCGTCTGCTGTCCCTGCTCTTCATCCATCTCTTCCTTCACCTGCTGCCCCTGCTGCTTCAGCTGTTCCGCTTCCGTGTGCTGCGGCTGCTAGCCTGTTGCGAAAGCGCAAGAGGGAAGTCGAGCTGCTTGTAGCTGCAGCGGTCACGCAAGGGCCAAGTCAAGGGAAGACATATGCAGCCGCTGCCTGTTGCTGCAGCTCTTCCTGCCAGTGCTGCTGCTGCTGCTGCTGGAAGGATGGGGCTTTGACTAGTGAAGGGGAGACACTGAGGAACAGAGAGGGCGCGAGCGGGAGGGCAGCAGATATAGGCAGTGGAAGACAGGATGGTAACTGCGCCAGTCAAACCCGTTGTAGCAGCAGTGGTGGTCGCAGCGGTGGTCGCAGGGGTGAAGGGGAGGGGTGCGCTCCTCTAGGGGGGCGGATGGAGAGGAGGAAAGGTGGAACAGAAGAGGAGCGAGGGGACCCTGGTGAAACGGCGACGGGAGATGGGAGGAGTGAGGAGGAGGTTTTGGTGAAGGGAAGGGAGAGTGACAGGTGGGGGGAGGGAGTGGGGGAGGGAGAGGGGGAGGGAGTCTGTGAGGGAGTGTGTGAGGGAATGAGTGAGGGAGTGAGTGAGGTGGAAGCAGCAGTTTCTGGTTGGGAGAGAGCGAGGAGGAGAGCAAAGGGGAGGAGCGCACTGGTGGTGCTGCCCCATGCAAGCACTCGGCGAATGGTGTGCCGACACCTGGCATCCCTTGGGTTTAGAGTGGGTGAGGCAAGCAGTGGGGAGGAGGCGGATCGGGTGATAGAGGAAGGTGTGCGGGTGCTGGGGGAAGGGTGTGGTGTCATGAGTGGGGAGGAAGGGAGACGCGGTGGCAGTTGTGGGGATGAGGGTCGCACGGAAAGGAGGGAGTTTGTGCCCTCTCTCGTATCCTTGTCACTACCCTTGTCACTACCCTTGTCACTACCCTTGTCACTCCCCCCCACATCTCTATCCCCCTCATCTTCACCCCCTTCATCTCCATCTCACACAAGAGATCTGGTGTGTCCGAGTAAGAGCCCTTCCGTGCAGCCACAATGCGACATGGCAGCACCCTCACGCATGCAAGGAGCAGCAGCAAGCATGGCAGCAGCAGCAGCAGCAGCGGCTACTACAGCAGCAGCAGCAGCAGCAGCAGCAGCAGCAGCAGCAGCAGCAGCAGCAGCAGCAGCAGCAGCAGCAGCAGCAGCGGCGGCTACAGCAGCAGCAGCGGCTACAGCAGCAGCATCAGCAGGGGCTACAGCAGCAGCATCAGCAGGGGCTACAGCAGCAGCATCAGCAGGGGCTACAGCACTGGTGTCCCCCAGTGCGTTTGACCTGTTTGTTGTGGATGCTGGGCTGCACTGGATTCCCCCTGCATGCGCACCCTCAGGCACTGCAGCAGCACTGGGACCAGCAGCAGCACTCGCAGAGGAAGTAGCATCAGCAGCAGCAGCAGCGACCACCGAAATCACCAGAGCATCACCGGAACAGCTCACGGTTAATCCTGCACCAGCAGCGTGTGAAGAAATGCTCCTCCCAGCAGACCCGGATGTCCTCCACAGCGCCACCAGCCCTGCCAAGGTCATTCTCCTCGTACCCTATGGCAGCAGGCAGGACTTCCGTCCAATCCCAGACTGCCACGTGGCTGTTGTCACCTACCCCATCCGCCAAACCGCCATCAACCGCCTTGTCTGTGAGCTTCTCTCCCCGCCTCCTCTCGCTCCCTCTTCTCACCTCCCCTCACTCCCCACTCACTCCCCTCACGGACACTCCAGCAGAGGACTGGCTAGTGCAGTCAGTGTGAGCAGCAACGAATGCTCACATAGTAACTGTGGTAACCCGATTCAGTGCAGTAACCACACGCACTGTGGTAACCCGATTCAGTGCGGTAACCACACGCACTGTGGTAACCACGGCAGTGGAGAAGGCAGCTTGGGCTGCTGCCGCACAAGTCTCAGGGATTCGCTGCCGAATCTCCTGGCTCCTGGCTCTTCCAAGCGTGCGACTGGTTCGGAGGCGTGTGCCGAAGCTGTGTTGGCAGGCTGGGCTGCAACCAGAGCAGAGGCTGCTGCGGTAATGAGTAGCAGAGGAGGAGAGTGCGCAGCAGAAGCCGGTGTGGGTGGAAAGGTACAAACTGGAATAGCGAAAGGACCAGCGGCAGCGGCAGCAGAAGGAGCAGGAGCAGCAGGAGCAGTGCCAAGTGTGGCAGTGGCAGGAGCAACAGAAAGAGCAACACCTGCTGCTCCAGAAGAGCCATCCCCGGTCGCTGCAGTGCCAACAAGTGTAGCATCAGCCGGAGGCGGGATGGCAGAAACCACAGCAGCAGGCGGGACAGCAGGAGGGGCGGCAGGAGGGGCTGCAGGAGGGGCGGCAGGATCATGTTGTGGGGGGCGAAGAGCGCGGGGACGGGCGGCAGCAAGGGCATGTGTGGATGCAGCAGGGTTCCAGTCAGGGCTGGCGCAGCAGCACCCTCTCAAGATTCTCCTTGCGTACGAACCCTGCTGCAGTCCCTCTCTCTCACCTCCATGGCCTTGCTTTCTCTTTCATGCTTTCAATTCGATGCAACTAAATCATAACCCTTATCACTCCAGCGCTCCAGTTCCTGTCCTCTGTGATTCTGTGCTTCTGCGCGAACAGCAGGTTGGCTAATCAGCACCAAAATGCCAATGCCCGCACTCATCACTCCACTTACATCATGTGCTAAATTATGCATGACCTGTTCCTGTACACCCTCCTGCATGACTGCATGCGCATGTGCCTGCAAGCCTGCATTACTCTATAGTGAGGACAACCTGGTGAATCAGAAGGTGGCGACCAAGATGGGGTACATAGTCAACTCAAATTCCTGTATGACCCTATGTGCACATGTCTGCCTGTGACTCTGGATGACCATTCAGCGAGGACAATCTGGTGAATCAGAAGGTGGCAACCAAGATGCTGGGGCGCATGGGTTACACATGCCATGTGGCAGTCAACGGGGCGGAGGTGCTGCAGGCGCTGCAGAAAGACTCCTTTGACCTCGTCTTCATGGACGTTCAGGTAGGTACCGCTCTGCACCTTTTCCTTTAACTGTACTTGAGACGCCTCATAAGTCAATGGGGCAGAGGTGCTGCATGCGCTCTGTGTGTGTGTGTGTGTGTGTGTGTGTGTGTGTGTGTGTGTGTGTGTGTGTGTGTATCTGTTTGTGTATCTGTGTGTGTATCTGTGTGTGTGCATGAGTGTGTGCGTGCGTGTGTCGAATAAGAGAGGTCTGTTCTGTAATTAGTTTCAGCCCAAATCGGTACACAAATTCTGAGACGCATTTATTCTATACCTCTCACTCTGCGAAGGCACCATTCCTTCCCCTTTTCCCCTGGTGATCTCCCTTTGACCAGATGCCAGTGATGGATGGAATCGAGGCAACACAGCGCATAACGCACATGTGGCCACCAAGCCAGAGGCCCAAGATATTTGCAATGACAGCCAATGTGCTCGAAACCGACCGCGCCATGTGCATGCAGGCGGGCATGGATGGCTTCATTTCCAAGCCTGTCAGCGTGCACGAGCTGGTGCGAGCCGTCGAGTTCTCCAGCCTTGCTAAGAGGTGATTGTTTTGTTGTTCGATTTGCTTGCTGTTGATTAGTGTACATATGTGATTATAGAGATTATGTACTGTCATCGCCCGGATAGTAGACAGTGATGAATAGTAGACAGGGGTTGTCTATTATCCGGGTGTCTTTTATAAACGGGCTAGCCTCATTATAAGACATGTCTGATAATCGAAACTGCATTATATTTTTGTGAAACTTGAAATACCTTGTATGTTTTTACCCTTGTGATGTGATGCGCGAATTCTTCCACGTGCTGACTTCGGTACTTCCAAATTTGCCTCTGCATGTATTTTCCATTACGTGGCTTCCCGAACAATGGTTGCTGAAGTGGCAGCTTCGCAACATCCACACTCATTATGAGAAACTCTTTTCAAGATGTGTGAATTTTTTTCTTAAGTAGTTTAGAAAGTTTCCATTTATAAGACTTACCGTATTAGACACCCAAAACCTTTCCAAATACAAAATAACCCAAGCATTTCTTCTAGTGTACGAGATAAGACATATATGCCTTATCCGGGCAATGACGGTGTGTGCCGTAATGCATTTTCCTGGATAGTACGATATTTTCCCGGATATTGAGGTTCCCCTCCCCCCAGGACTTGCTTCCTGGGGCAGAAAGCTTAATGTGGCCTAGTGCCTAGTCATCAAGCCATAGGCCTACGGTACCTAATCAATGCTACCGGTAAGTTATAATCTCACTAGGCCAATTCCAGACCATCAAACACTGATTCCAGGCCATCATTGTCCGACTCTGCCATAGTGCTGGAGTTGTTAGTAGGGCCCGTGCTAGGTTTTGGGGCATCCTGAGGCCTCAGGGCAACTTTCCAAATTCTGAAAATGCCCTGACTTGTCAGGGCAATTTTTCAGAGGCTTCCTGTAGTTTCACGGCTTCTGCAGAAATTTATCCTGGCCTGTCAAGGCAAAAATAGTAATGGTACCAGCATTGTCCTACTCTTGCTAACTAGTAATCCAAGGTAGAGAACACCACCAGACTAGACCAGAGGACACCACTGCTACTCTAACAACAACACTGTGTTAAGACTATGTCAAGGGAATGATGAGATTAGGTCAAGGTTGGGGTACAAGACTAGGGTGTCGAAGAAGTTTCTGTACCCCCTAGTGCTAACCCCCATGCAGCCTAGATAACCTAAACATGCAGATATAATTTGACACACCCCCATAGGCGAAATGGGGGATAGCCAGAGCAAGCAACGGTCACAAGACCAGTCAAGTGAAGAAACAAAACACAGCTCAGGGTGGATCACAAAGTCACCACGCAGTCTGAGCACAAGCAAAAGGCCACAAGGTCAGTTCACATGCAGAGATATATACGTAACAACAACATCACAGTGATCTCTACCTACCAGAGCAAGCATGCAGGTATATATATATATATATATATATCACAGTACAAACAAAACCTACAGCAAGTGAGGAAACGTAGGCACAAGGCCTAACAAAGTACAGAAACGCTGAAGATCACCAAGCGGAAGTGCCTTGGTGAATATATCAGCAGTGTTGGCCCGAGTGGCCACGTAAGCAAGACGAAGCTGACCACCCTGCTGTAGCTCTCGAGCAAGGAAGTAACGTAGAGCGATGTGCTTCGTTCTGTGCTCCAGTCTGTGCTCCTCACACAAGGCAATGGCGGCCTTGTTGTCGACGTACAGCACTCGAGGAGAACGAGGCCTCTCTCCCAAGTCGGTCAACATGTAGGTGAGCCAGCGTAACTCCTGTGCAGCCATGGCTGTGGCGTAGATCTCAGCCTCACAACTGGAGCTGAGAACTGAAGACGAGCGTGTAGAACGCCAAGAAACCAAACCAGAGCCAAGGCTGAAGGTGTAACCCTATGACGACCGCTGCGTAGCCTGGTCGTCAACCCAAGAAGCGTCTGAGTGCCCAGTGAGTTCAACGTCGCTCCGTCCTCCAAGCACGAGCCCCATGCCCGATGTACTGCACAAGTAGCGTAGTACCCTCTTAGCAGCATCCATGTGCACCTTTCGGTGCCGACCAGGAGCCACGTAGCGAGCCAGAAGGCCAAGAGGGTACGCAAGGTCAGGACGAGTGCAGGTCATCAGGTACATGAGGCAGCCCACTAGCTCTGGGTAAGGACCACTCGGCTCTACGGACTCGTCCGAAGGTGGAGCTGAGAGCAAGTGACCTGTAGCCAGAGGAGTGGGCTGTGCCGAGGACCAGGTGAAGCCGAAGCGCTGAAGGACCTACTGCGCCATGTGTGAGTGAGTCAGTGTGATGGTGCGGCGTGCTCTGTCCCGGGTGATCCGAAAGCCAAGATAGCTTGTCAGCTCACCCAGGTCTGTGCACGTGTGTCTCTTCTGCAGCTCCGACTTCACCAAGGCGAGAGCCTGAGTGTCAGTAGTGGCAAAGACCAAGTCGTTGACGTACACGAGGATGTAGAACGGCGGTAGCGAAGTGTCGGTGCGCAAAAACATCGACGGGTCAGCATTTGACGGAGCAAACCCAAGAGCCGCAAGTGTCGTCCTCAGTGTGTCGTGCCACTCATGTGGCGCCTGGCGGAGACCGGCCGCCTGAGGCTCCACTGGGTACCAGGAGGGAACGACCCAGTGAAGCCAGGTGGGCGGCGCAGCCAGATCTCCTCGTGCAGACTGCCCTGTAAGAAGGGTGTGCTGAAGTCAAGAGAGTGAAGCTCGTAGTCACGCTGAGCGGCAACGTGCAGCAGCACCCGAAGAGTGGTCATCTTCGGGGTGGGGGAGAAGGTTTGGAAGAAGTCTACTCCCTCTCGCTGACTGAAACCTCGTGCAACGTAACGCGCCTTGAAGACAGCCGGAGAACCTGGCGGCCGCTTCACCCTGAAGATCCACATGCCACTGACGATGTTCGCCCCAGGAGGGGGAACCTCGTCGACGTACGTGCCTGTGGACTTCCAGGATGCCATCTCTGCGTCCATGGCTGTCTGGCAATGAGAGGAGTACTCACCCGCGATCGCCTCAGCGTAAGAGCGCGGGGTGGGGATGTCTGGTGCATCCGGGTCTCCCTCAGGGGCAAGCAGCATGGCCACGAGATGAGGCGCAGCGGCCGCAAGACACTCAAGGTCCTCGTGCCTGTCCTCAAGGACGTCCGTGCTAAGAGCACACCCACCCCCGACGGACAGAGAACAGACAGACTCAGACTCAGCAACAAGACTAGCAGCGTAGTGTAGACGACAGGCAGCAGCAAAGTTGACTAGCTCAGCGACTAGGGGGGACGCAGCAGTGGACTCAAACGACGCGTCAGTGACAACAGTGGCTAGCAGACGTGTGTCAGTAGGGTGCTCAGTACGAAACTGGTCAGACTCAGGGTCCGCAACGATAGGCAAAGAAGACGGAAGAGGAGACGGCAGAGGAACACTCTACGGAGGAGAGGAAGGACGACGGACTACAAGGGAAGGGCCGGGGACAGCCGGCTGACGCTGACGAGGAACACGACGACTGGTACGACCATAACGGTCAGGTGAGACAAGACGCGACGCAGGCTCACGACGCTCAGTAAGGCCCCCTGTCTGCTCAGCGTAAGGAGAAGGAGCAGGCAGAGGTGAGCCAGACTGTAACGGAAGACCAGTAGACGAGGGGAGGCTAAGAACCTGGCGAAGCACGGAGTCAGGCGGTGACAGAGACGACGGAGACGGCGGAGCAAAGAACAGGCGTGGCTGTGCAGTGCCACCAGCACCAGCAGCTCCAGCACCCTCAGCAGCTCCAGTCCCTCCTGGTGCAGCACCCCCAGTCCCAGGGTCTCCAACCGCAGTGCCACCAGCAGCAGTACCCTCAGACACACCACCGCCAGCCCCAGCAGCTCCAGTACTCCCAGTACGAGCACCCCCGGGACTAGCGACACCAGCACCTCCAGCAGGCAAAGGACCAGCACCACTCCCAGCTCCAGTGACGCCAGCAGAAGTACCCCCAGCAGTAGAGCCCTGAGGTGCAGAAGCGCGACGATGACGGCGACCGTACCAGTCGTGCAGCTGCTAGGACGTGAGAGGCACACGCGGACGAAGACGGCTACTCCAAGGAGACCGCGGAACAACAGTCTCAGAACCCTCAGGCGACTCACCTCCAGACTCAGCACCCCCAGGCTCCACACACGCAGGCTCAGCACCCCCGGACGCAGCATTCCCAGACGCAGCACCCCCAGATGCAACACCCCCAGGCTCAGGACCTCCAGGCTCCTCACGCGCAGGCTCAGCACATCCAGGCTCCGCACCCTCAGGCCCCTCACGCTCAGCGCCCCCAGACTCAGCACCCCCACGCTGCGCACCCCCAAGCTCCGCACCCCCAGGAACAGCACCACTCCCAGCAGGACCGGAGTCACCAGTGACCTCAACAGGCGCAGGGACGGGAGGGTCTACCTGAGAAACACCTGAAGGAGCAGGACCTGGCGCGGGGAGGGGGTCTACCTGGGGAGGACCTGGGGCGAGAAAGAGCGGCGGGAGGGAGGGAGGAGCAGTGCGGTAGGGGAAGAGGCGGTAAAAGGGGACCGACTCGTCAAAGGTGACGTCCTCAGACGGAAAGACACGGCGCGAGGCGGGGTCGTAAAACTGCCAGCCAGGCGCGTCAGGGACAAAGCCAAGGAAGACGCAAGGAATGGCGCGAGGGGAGAGTTTGTCCGCGATGGTATCGCGGACAAAGGCAAGAGCACCCAAGACCCGGAAACGCGCCGCGTCGCCAACCTTCCCCGTCCACAGCAGTGTGGGCGAGGTCTCCGGCAAGGAGACACGGGGCCAAAGGTTGAGCTGATGCGCTGCGTACCGGACCGCAAACGGCCACAGAAAATGGGGGGCAGCCGCATGGATCATGGAGGTACGAGCGACCTCCATGACTAAGCCAATGCGACGCTCAGCAACCCCATTCTGTTGCGGAGAGGCCGGAAGCGTGAAAGTCTGGCGGATGCCGTGCTTCGCACAGAAGGCTGCCAAGAGGTCTGAGGAGAACTCACCACCTCTGTCAGAGTGCAGACGCAAGAAAGGAAAGTCCGACTGGAACCGCTCG